CTATGCATGGCTATTCAGAAGTAAGTTCCTCTAAGTTCAACAGGACTTATTCTTAGGTAGATGTACATAGGAAATAACTCATAACGCAGTTACTTCTTGTAATGTAGAATACTTTCATAACCAAGCTCCATCAAGAATAGATTTCCCTATTCCCCCTCAAGTTCCAACTGGGAAGCAAGGTAAAGTGGACATTTACTGAACACTGTGCAATCCTTGGTGACATGAGGCAACTGGCTTACCAGTGCCTGTTTTCCTGTTCTGATTTTCCACCCTTGGAGGAAACTATCTAAAGAACCCTCCTGTTAGGTAGCTAATGAATGGGTGGACAGCAGCCCTTTGGAGAATAGCTTGTTTAACTGGGTTTTTCTATTACTATACACAGGCGGGTCACTGAGAAGCCAGTGAGTATCTTTATGTTTTCATTTATTTTGAGTTATTTATATCATTTTATACTTTTGTCTGCTGCAGTGTTATTACAGCCATTCATCAACAGTCCGTCCTTCACCTCCTCTTCAAGGGACATGCCACAGAGTACCTAGGAAGTATCTAGGGATGCATGCAGCCCTTTTAAAAAGCAAAATTCCCCTCAATCAGCTGTTTGGCAAGAAAGGATGAGCAATAGGGGAAATAGAATATGGCCTTTAATCCCCCGTGAACAGTGCTGAAAATCTGACCTAAACTACAATATGATCTTCAAGTCACCAGATCCACCACACAATGGGCATAGTTGGTCTTTGGCCTGATATTTATCGACAAGAAAAAGAAAACAAAGGTGCTAAAAATAGCTTTCATGCATGAAAAACATTAAAATGCAGACAACAGGAAAAATCCACTTTGCCTGCTTGGAATGTTAATTCAACAAACAGGCTAGGTCAAACCCACCTGAGGTGCTAACCAGATCTGTTGTTCATCCTATACGCAAGCATTCACAGAAGTATCATATTGCAGATGAGTGCATGTCACAGAAGCTACAGCAACTGGCATGATCACTTAAAAAATATTACTGTCTTCCTTACTTGGCAGGACTAGCAAGAACCAGCAAATGCTAAGATAAATGAATATTATTGTGGGTGAATTCCAACTAACCGTGTGGCTGGAACCCTGCCTCTTTGTACCATTCCCACTGCTCTGCAGTGTTGGGCGAATCTCTAGAGCATATCGGGGGGGGTGTAGGGAGGAGGAGTTCGGTCGCACAACAGGAAATCCTGCAGGAAATGCATTATTTGGATACCACCTATAATATTTGCACATATAGTAGACAAGAAGTAAAAGTGATTTGCAGCTTAAAGTACCAGTACAGACTATAAGACAGCAAGATGGCTAGTGGTTACATATTAACACAGGCTACCCAAACCTATACTGCCTGGACCATAAACTTAAGCATTTCCTGTAGCAGATATAAGAGGCAGACAGAGCAACTGTTCTATGTGGAGTAAAGGCACGGACTAGGAAACCTGACAAAATAGCAGTGGAGACATATACCCAAGGGCAGGGGTGGGGAGGGACTTGAATGCAAATGACTAGGGGCTGGACTAATTTGGGGCTGGGTGGTGGTGCTGGGAGATAACAAGACTAGGGAAATAGGAAAGAGAGAGTAAGCAGAAGCAAGGCACTAATAATTGCCTACCTCAAGAAGGGGCAATAAAGGTAAAAGGTTTCCTTGATTCCACTGTAACCTGCTGGGGCACAGTAATGGCTGAGACCAGACTTTCTAACAGTGGTTCAAAAAGGGTGTAGAACGGTCCGCTCAAATGCCAAGAGGCACCAGGTAAGACGAGTGAACAACAGACAACAATGGGTTGGCCAGTAAGTTGGCCCTTGAGGCAAGCCAGACTCCGATCCGAAGTTCCTTCCAAGTTGCTTGATAAAAGTTTTAAAAATAGAAAAAAGCTTGTTTTAGAGATAAAACTGGCTTGTGCTTCCTGCAACAGTCATGACTTAATGTCTGTTCTACATGAAACAGTTTGGGATAATAGTTTTCAGCTCCACATGAACAGTTAGCTGCATGTTCACCTATAAACAGACCTCTTAAGTGTGTTTCCCTAAAATAAAACCAAGAGTCAAACAGGAAGGGGGGGATCCTCACTCACAGTCTGCAAAGTGTTACAGATAAAAGCACTTTAAAGAGGCCCAAGGCTTAACAAGTAGCATAAGAAAGAAAAAACTACAACTGTTGTTTTGTTTTCATGCAAAATAAAGTGAGCGTGGATGTTTGTGCATTCCAAGCTACTCATGCTTTGACAATTTATTCTGGCTTTATATGCCAATTTGCAGTGCTGTCATGACAAATGTGTTGTTGCCTTGGTAACTTCCACAGTCAGTGCTTAGGCTGTCAATGAAATACTATCCTCCACTTTAAATGAACAGCAATATTTCACGGCACATTTTTTAAAATACTGTTTTTACACAGAGAATGGAGCCATCCGCAGGGAACATTCCTTCCTATGTTTTCCCTGTGGTGTCTGTTTCTTCCCTCTAAATTGATTGGAATTCTATTCTCCCTTGAGGTTCAAGGGGGATATATATTTGTTGTTGTTTTCAACAGACTTCTCTTCGGTGTTCTAGAGAGTACACAGACCACAGGTAACTAAAAGAAACCATAGAGAAATGTCCAAGTATTGGTTTTGGTCTATATTTCAAGCACATCACAGATGTGTCCCAATCACAAAATCAGATATACACTGTAGGCCCAAATTTGTTGAACAAACACTAACTAATCCCAAAATCCTATGCTCCCAGAAATTCATAGTACTGTTGGAATAGTACATGTAGGATGCTGGTGTTGCTGCCTGCCATTGATAAACACAGGCTGTCATTTATACATACCTTGCAGGCTGCTGCAGAAAACCTCAGAACTAAATGTAAGAAGAAAAGCCTCTGAAGTAGCTTTCAGGGCAGGCAGTTACCTCAGTGAAGGCTGAAGCAAGTTTCAAACACTTCCACTTTTGCAATTTATCAGATTCAAGCCAGAGTACAAGCTATAGATGCTAACGGATCCAAATATCTCTTTCAAGCTGAGGATCCTAGGTACTTGCAATGAGAAACAAAGCCTCGACTTGAAACCCTGTACAGAAAGCTGTCCATCCGGGTTGATCCATGAAAGGTATTTCTCTGTTCAGGAATCTTCCAGGCAGCCCACAAAAATCAGCTGCTGAGAGGGACAACCGTTCTTCACAACCAACCTTTGCTCTGCACTGAATTGTTTGAGATAAAATACACAGGAGCACTCAAACTGGAGCGCAAGAACAATAACTGACCAGATGTCATGCAGACACTCTGGCCTTCTCTAGTGACAGGTCCAGTGCAAGTTGGAGAGAAGAGGAGATGTTATGGATACCCAAGAGGCATCAGTGTGACAAAAGGAAGATCACCCAAACCAAATTCTCATTCTTACCAGCAGGGTGGTCATGCTTGGGTCCTGACTGTCTTACTGACCCAAAGGCTCACTAAGGGACTGATACTGCTGATAGGGCCTCCTTGGCACATCTTTCAGGTATGTGAGGGGTGAAGAGCAAAGGCCATAATATCACTGATGTGATGTCTGAAGTCAAAGACAGGCAGCAGGATACACCGTCTCCTGGCTCTTACCTTGGTACCAACCTGCTGTATTGAGTTAGAGGTTGTAACAACCCAAAGTTCAATCATTCCCTCCCTCTTGCTTCTTCGTTCCAAAGGTAACTGTGCTAAAGCAACGAAACTCAAGGTTAAGTATCATACACTAGTTAGCTGCCACACAGACAGTCTTTTGGATGAGCTGGAGACAATATGGAATGAAAGTGTGACGTTGAAAGGTATCCTCAGACTCCAGGAAGGATATGACAATCTCCCCCAATACCACTCAGAATAAAGTGGCTGTTCTACCAAGCCACAAGGAGAAAAGAATTTGATTATTTACACAACAGCAAACACATTTTTGGAAACAAACATTATACTGCATGATTCTTCTATGAGAACAGAGCTTTCATTCACTAAATTTAAGGACAACCTTTCCACAGTCATTTGAAACTGAAAATCAGGTAACTTAATTGATCAGTATTCGATTTTTTTATATACATGTTCATTTTATCAATTAGAAACACATACATGCACACATAAAAACACAGCCCTATTTAAGCTGAAGTGTGAAATATATATATTTTATTCTTTTAAAAAATCACAAGATTGCTTGTTAATTCACAAACCATAATTACCAGTGACAAAACATGTAATGATCTCACCTCTTCTAACACTATTCCTCAAAAGAGATTAACCAAAATGATTTCCGGGAGCTTGTGAAGAGTTGCTTTAAAAATAATAATTTAAAAGTCGAGGGCGTCTTCATCAGCAACACTTGCAGAAGTTTACAATAAGTAAACAGGAGGCAGTGATAATCACCAACTTAGATGGCTCTAAAGATTAGACAAATTCATGGAGAAGAGCATTCAAGGAGAAGAATGCTTCTGAATACCAGTTGCTGGAAACCAAAGTTTTTCCTAGGCATCTGGTTGGCCACTGTGAGAACAGGATGCTGGACTAGACGGGCCGTTGGCCTGATCCAGCAGGCTATTCTTATGTTCTTAAATGAGTAGTACTTGATTCGGTTCAAGATTTACTGTTTGAAAATTGAAAATTAGTTGACTAAATGTAATGGCAAATTCAGTGACCACAAAGGTAAATGCACCTTTACAAGTAATTATCCTGGACTTTCCTGTTGTGGTCCTGATGAATATTGCTCCTCTGAAGCTATTTCCACTTAGAAGTAAGCTCCTTTGGCAGCAATGCAAGTCTTTCCCCAAATGCAAGTCTTAACCAAAAGAAGGTTAGCATAGGTGGTCACAGGATTTTCCTGAAGGACAAAAATGTAACAGCACAAATGCTAGCTAGATCTTAAAATAAAAATTCAAGCACAACATTTGCTGCACTTGCAGTATAGATAGCAGATGAAAACTAGTACTCAATTATGTACAGGATCAGTACTTCTGAATATAAAAGACCTACAAAATCATCAGAGACCAAAGAGATTTATATGTAGTGCCATTACTGTATTCCTGAAACCTCTCCCAAATTTAGAGCTCTCAGCACTTGGCAAGACAAAAAACCATTTTGTATTTTGGTTCTCTTGGGACAACACTGATAAAGGAAATTACAGATGCAAAACTGAAGCCTATCCAAACAATATCCTGTGCATCTCAAATGTTTTCATATTTTTAAACTGAGGATCTGCTGATGAAATCCAGAAAACAAACAGATTACATCATCAATATTTCTGCTACATTAACATCCAGATGTTACTTATGATGTGCATATGGGGGGCAGGGAGGAATAGAAAGGGAGAGGGAGAGGGAGATCCTGGACAAAACTCCTTGGAGAGGTAGTTGTGTCAATGCTTCAAAAACACAGAACCCAGTCAGTAAGTAAACTCACATTCGAATACAAATAATCAAAACTTACAGCATGAATCTAAATATGCTATGAATAATACTGAAAAGATTGAAGGCAACGAAAGTTCTCCTACTTGGGCTTTGAAAAATATACAAAGTTCAGGCCTCTCGTGTACAAAAAGATTTAAGTGTTAGTACATTAATATATTTATACACTGAGTGTCACTTTATTACCTAAAAAAGATACATCACTAGCACACAACTGTGCCCAAAGGCACTGCAGAACGGCTGCCAGGAGCTTCTTTTTACACACCATAATGTTTAGTTCTTAAATTATACTGAAAACAATATGGATGGGTTTAACCAATCAGCAGATCTAAAGAGGGCATATCCCAGCCAAATAAAAGCTGTTATCTAGAAGCCCTAAACTGTATCTTGAACTTTTCTGAGGCACATCAAATTCTGTTCCAGAGCATTTGAGACGTAAATTCTGTGCAGAGAAGCAGCTGGCAGAAGCTTCCATAGTGAGCTCAATGTAAAGCAAGACTCAGCATTATCCAACAATGAAAAGCGTGCCACAAGCCCATCTCACTCAAGTGAATGGGTGCTGCCCACGTATAGTTCCTGCACATCTCTCTTCCCTTTCATTTCAATTGTGCTTGCACAGATATTCCAAGTCAATTGTACTCAGAATTTTTTTTAGGGATTCCAAATAGAAAATAAACGTTTTCATTATACATTTGCATCCACACAGTATATATTCAAAACACAAGCAAATGATTATCAGAGTTAAAGAAAATAAACCCAAATACAATATAATTTAAGAACAGAGTTTTGTGGCGCGAGAAATCCCCTTTGGTTTTGTCTGCAGTGTCTTTGAAGGTAACCCTAAAAGGAAGTACCTTGCAGGGTGTAAGGGTTTAAAGAAACTTTTTCAACTTCACTTTTAACTTTGGAAGCCCAGAGGCAAAGCAAGTGCACATTTTCCACACACCTGGGTACGATAATTTGCAGGAAACATTATTTTCTGAGAAACTGCTAAACTGATAAAGATCGGACAGTGCTCTGGCAACTGGGAAGAGCCCTTTATATATTTTAGAGACCTGAGAATTTTACCACCTCTCAAATCGATTAAGTCTTTGCCTTCTAAGTTCCTCAACTGATGGCTCTTCCGGTGGAAGCCAGAAGCCGTAGGGTCTCCTCTCATTGCCGTAATGTCTTGGGCCTGTTAAGAAAAGCAAATACCAATCACTGTCATCTTCCGAAATCTACAACAGGCATATTTCTGAGGATTTTTAACATATAGTTTTATAATGTTAGGTCAGACCCAAATCTGCAAGTTGCTGCTGCTAATATACTAGGCTTTATAGTATGTGTAATAATTCTGAGTCAAAAGAAAGACTTGTCAATGGAACAATTCACGCTTTCTCATCAACATGACCCGTCCCCTTGAAATTTCTTACATTGGCTCCTCTGTGATGAAATGCATCAACTGCTGTAATAAAAAGGGGTGACCACCGCCCCATACACATACACACCTCATATCCCACACTAGTTTTCAGTCAGTGCTCTCTTTTTGTCTCCAGTAGAAGACATATAGCCATCAAATTTTCCAACCCCAAGAAGAGAAAAGAAGTTCAGTTTAAGCTCTCGCTCTCAGAAGTAATTTCTTCTATTGCTGAAAGGAATTTCCAGTGGAACAAATAGTTTGTGGCCATGCAGTGTTGCCTGAATATTAAAAAAAATATGTCTGTGTTCAATTATCATTTTGGAAAAAAAGAACAAGCAGCAATTGCTAGCAGTTTATGGACGAGCTAAGCTGCAACTCAACTTCATGAGAACAACAGGATACTGGGACTTCCTAAAGCAGGGAAGAGGTGAGCTCCTCTTCCCAACTACACATCTATGATTTTGTCAACTAGGGTGACCATCCAAATAAGTGAAGAAGGATGGCTCAGAGAGTCATGGTCTTTTGATTTTGAAAAACAATTGGGCAGTGAGGTCATTTTAGGTCCAGAGTGATGGTGGACCTAAGATTTGTACCTTTGCATTAGCTATTACAAGTTGTGCTGACTACCAACAGTTTATAGGCAGCTTTAAAAAGGACTAAGCAAATTTGTGAAAGGTGTAGCCAATAGTAATTGATGGACCTGACAGCTAACTGAAACATCCATGTTCACAAGCAATGTCTCTCTGAATAGCAGATTTTGGGGACGAAGAGCAGGGAGGGCCATGTTTGCTATGCTTGAGCCTCTGGCAGGCTACTATTAGAAATGGGATGGACCTTTCGCCTGATCCAGCAGAAGAGTTATTAGGCATACAGGAGACAGAACTGTGCATGAAGCTGTGGCTCTCTGAGGTTTCTGCCAACCCTGCATGATCAGCTGAAGAGCCAGGCTGTTTGGTTTAAATGTCTCTGCCTTGGGTGTTTAGTTGTATTATTTTAAAACCAATTTTTGTTGTTTATATTGTATGGTTAGAAATCGTCTTGAGAATTATGTGAAAGGAGATGAGCAAAGCAAAACAACAAATCAAGCATTCACATAGATCACTTCCTATGTTTTTCCCTATGTTTTTAGCTGCTCTTATTTTTATCTGTAAACCGTCTTGAGGCCCTGTCTGGGAAGAAGGTGGGTATAATTTTTTTAAAAAAAATATTTAAAAATTATAATAATGTCAATATTATCTTGTTCATTTAGAGGAAATAAGCAAGAACCATACAATTTACTACAATTAGAATATTTATTTGGAAGTGTTTTTTAAAAATGACATTGCAGCCTACAGCGCCAATATGCAGTTCAATATGCAAAACATAGGACCCTTCCAAGCCCACTTTGCTTGGACCATAACCTAAGTTGCTAGCATGAGGATAGCAAGGGACAGCTAAAGGTGGGAAATTTCCTTATATGGATGTTTGAAGCAAGAAACCCAGGAGAACGAAGGAAAGACTGAAATATTCAGAATTGAGAAATGTTCATAAGCAAATAATTGTAGTTCAGATCTCACAATTGCTTTAGGTGAGCAAGACTTGTGTAGTACAGTGGGCAGAAAGGAGGATAGATTAAACACAATAGTTAATCACCTTGAAGAAAAGGAAACACTATGCCTGCTACAGAGGAATGGCTGTTAAAAACTCATGGACTTGGCTGAGATGGCAAAGTTAACATGTTTAATTAGAGAAAAATTATTGACATTTATTCAGGACTGGAAACTTCTTACGGACCACTGTAAATGTGACAGCAAATGTGTCAGATATGCTCTGGTTTTTCAGAGTAAAAAGCATCTGTGCCGAAAGTAAATACAAAAACAAGGAATCGAATTTAGCATACACTTTAGTATGTATGGGAGGTTTCTACTGCATCTAAACATCAAGGATTAAAATAGTGACTGCTCTAGTGAACAATATTAATTTAGATGCTGATCATGCTTCAGGAGTGCCAGGAGATGGCACCAGAGGCTCACAGGCAACACATTAGAGGAAAGTAGGGCAAACTCCAGTCAACAAAGCATTCCGCATAGTAAGCAGAATTAGGCTTATTTTGAAACAGATGGGCTCTACAGAAGCTGCAGCACTGAATATTATAGAGTTGTTTATTGTCTGGCTGGTTTGAAACCCAGGGATTATTTGCTAGCAACTAGCACTTTCTGTGTCACATCGGGTTTCATCTAAAACAGAATAAAGTGAAAGCCCACTGGGATATATAGATATACATTTTTTCTACTAATCCACTGTTGAATTCAGAACTGAAACTTGCTATTATGTGGTCTATTCAGCACAGGAGTGCTTTTTTTTCTGGAAAGATTAGCAGCATACCGACATCCTAACCCTGATGTAGAACAGCTAGCTAACAGATTTTGTCAGAGCTGGGAATTGCACAGAAGTACTACGAAAAAATATTTACCACTGTTGGCACTTGTTTTTGAAACATCATTTTGAACACCCTATACTCAATAGCATAAAGAGATCACCTTGGAACTCTCGAGTGCATTGTGAGGTGGTCATACTCTAAAAAAGGCTTGTTAAATTTGCAAAGCAACTAACACCCTTCCCAATCATGAGTTGGGATAGAGCATGAAGAACACTTCAGTCTAGAAGTTTTAAAAGATGCAGTTATTGTATGCCACTGACTTGCACAGTATATCACAAAACCCCTGTGTGCTACTTGTAGAAGAGTTAATAAACTTTTGTTCAGACTACAATGTTATCTAAGAAATAGTAACATGAGGTGTGAGTCATCAAAACTCCACAATAAAACTATTAGCATTACGAGAACAGAGGGTAGTTGGCATGCAACAGTGATAATAAAACGGGGGACTTGAATACTTGAGAAATACAAAATGAGTAAGAAAACATATTTTACTGAACCAAAGCACTCAATCCAACGTGCTCTATAAATGCTCTTGCAGATTGGTCCAGTAAAAGAGGCTGTCAAAGGTTATAAAAACACAGAACACATGATAGACCAAAACCCAATTAATTATGAGTGCCTCAACTACAAATTTTGCCAACTATCTTTACTTGGTCTTGACTAGATGCAACTTCAGCTGACTCATTCTTAGTCACAGCTAGACACTCCATAAATGTGATGGATTCAGTTCAATTTATCATGGGCTGGATGGAGGAATCCTCATAGAGCAGGATAGTTAACTGGTGGTCATCCAGATGTTGCTGAATTGTGACTCACATTATCCCTGACCATTGGGTAGGCTAGCCAGGCTGATTAGTGCTATAATTCAGCAACATCAGGAGGGCCACAGATCCCCTACCTGTCCTAGAGCATAGCAAAGCCCAGTTCTACCACCATCCACAATTTGACAGCGAGGCTCTGCCATTATAGGGAAAGGGAGGCCTGTATGCACCTCCACATCCAATTTGGTCAAGCTAATTCAAGGATCTAATGAGCGTGGGGCCATAAGATGCAAAAGAACAATGTTCTCAGGTTATAGAAGGCAATACTCTGACCCTGACAAAGGGATTCCTTGGATGGTCCTAAGAACAGGACCAATGGGTTCCAGAGTAGTACAGTGGTGCCCCGCAAGACGAATGCCTCGCAAGACGAAAAACTCGCTAGACGAAAGGGTTTTCCGTTTTTCAAGCTGCTTCGCAAGACGAATTTCCCTATGGGCTTGCTTCGCAAGATGAAAACGTCTTGCAAGTTTGTTTCCTTTTTCTTAAAACCGTTAATAACCAGGGTGCATTGCTTGAAGAGGTGCAGTTGCGACTTGACTTCGAGGAGCAACTCATAGCACGCGGTGTGGTAGCTTTTTTTGAGGTTTTTGAAGACTTTGCTGATTTTTGAAGCTTTTCCAAAACTTCTTTTGCAGCCATTTGGTAAGTTAAACTTTTAAAACTTTTTTTCGGGTTTTTGGATTTTGGGTTGGGGTGTTTGGAATTCAAGGACTTGGTGTTGGGGAGGGGTTTGCAAGAATCTGGAAGCTTGTGTGTTTTTTTTTCTGCATTTTTATGATTTTCTGTGACCATTGGGCCACTCTGCTGTTTTTTTAAAAAAATTCTGGGTTTGAATTTTGAAATGCTCTTTACAGTATGTGTGACTTTAAAGAGCACTTAATAAACTCTTGTTGTACCAAATTTGGCTTTGTTTGGACTTTTTTTGACCATAGGAACGCAATAATTGATTTTCAATGCATTCCTATGGGAAACCGTGCTTCGCAAGACGAAAAATTCGCTAGACGAAAAAACTCGTGGAACGAATTAATTTTGTCTTGCGAGGCACCACTTTACAAAAAAATTCTTCAGCATGATCATCATAAATTGATCTCATCACGATGGGCATTATGTACTGTCATGCTGGCAAAGAATCTCAAATCAGCCGATTATACTAATGCTGCCCTGTACAACAACCCTAGGCTTTCTTACTATAACTTTGGAGACCTATATGGTCAATTGCATCCTTCCTGCAGGGAGCAGCAATAGGAATAGCACAAGTCATTGACCCAGGAAGTATCACTTTCTAGCATTTCTTGGGGACATCAGGAACTACCTAGAGTAGGTGTGAGTAGGAAACATGTGGCCCTCCAGATGGATGACAATGTCCATCACCCTAGACCACTGGTCATGCAGACTGGGCTGATGGGAGTTGGGACACCAACAATATCCATGAGGAACCTGCATAAGAAACTGAAGGTAACAAACCCAAGAAAATCCTGATAGGTAACACAATATGTTTACAGCCTTTCTTGTAACGTTAAAATCTCTGCTTGAACATATAATCCAAATGTTTATTTTTATGTATCATTTATGTATCCCCAAATAAGATTATGATGTATCATTTGGCTTCAGTGAAACATTTAGGGTTGCCATATCTTGAAGAGCAATTATGGATCGCTATGACAACTCTCATTTTACATACCCATGAAAAAGGGGCCATGTCCTGGGAAAAGAGGACATATAGCAACTCTACAATACCAAGAATGTTGGTTTATAACTTCAGGCAAGGAACAAGCACTAGAAGCAAACAAAGGTTTCTTTTCACAAAAATCTTGTTTGATAACAAACAAACAAAAAAGCCAACATATAAAAATGTGGAAAAAATGTGACCTGTAAATAGACTGCTTTCTGTCTAGGATGTTTTCTTCTGGGTTGCCAACAACTTATTTCTTAAAATAAAATAAAAAAGTGTTTATTATGGAAATATCAAACCAAACACATTTCACAAAGTCCAAAAGAAAATAACCTTGAAGGTCATTTTGAGGATTAATTACTACGTGCATACAAAACTATGAAGAGTTTTACAACTTGCTCAGAATCTCTCACTGCAATGGGTAAAGTTATTAGGACAAGAGTTCTTTCTAAACACGTGTCTGTAACATGTAGATTTCACAATGAATTTCATAATCAAATAATTTCATAACTGGTTGGAAATTCCCCCCTAATTTATCAAGGGGACAAATGAAAAGTTTTAGTAACATTTGAACAACTGGCACCAAACGACAACCTCGGTTTTGGCTTTAATTCATCTCGGATGAGAGACTGTTTATTCCCTAACAACACTGTTTGGTCTTGCTAATTATGTTGTAATGCCAGGGCATTCTTTCTTGTGTGTCCAAAGTTCACAAAGAGCTTCTGGGTACTGTATAAAGAATACATAATGCATTACCCAGCAGTTTTTTTTTTCCTTCCTATTGGCAGTACAGCTGGGCTTGTCTTTCCAAACAAAAAACAGCAACGTATACGACAGCACTCTATAAAAGACACACTGATATTACATTCAAGTTGCGGGTGGGAGGGAAATGCTTCTCCACAAAAAACAACAACGGGCATTTAAAATGCGTACGAAGCAGAAATGGGCTGAGTAAATAAATGGGAAGATCTTGGCAATGATTATTGCTCCCTTGCACCTTTTTGCTTAGTCTTCAGCATCACTGCCATTTTTGTTCCAAAGGATGACAAATAAAAGAATTGGTATAAGTGATATGGTCCCCTGTAGCTATCCTATTTCATTAGGAAAGAAAGAAAGAAAGAAAGAAAGAAAGGAAGGAAGGAAGGAAGGAAGGAAGGAAGGAAGGAAGGAAGGAAGGAAGGATATGCTTTTAAGTCCTATTCAAACCCCTTCATCAGGAACTGGGAACAAGAGCAAAACATGTCAGAGATGTCACCTGGCTACTTAGCCACCTTCCACATGAACATACAATTCAGAGATGCTGCTTCTACAAACTTCAAGAGAGGTTTCCAATGGCATGGTGTGCTACTGTACATGAACAGCCTGCTGCAATAAGGCAACAACCACAGAGAACAATTTTTTCATAGTATCCACTGGTTGCCAGGGCCTATTTGGACACTCTCCAAAGGTCAACTTTCCCTCTGAAAGCATGGGGTGGGGAGCATAAAGGTGGCAAAGTGCACTCTGTGTGGGTGGTAGGAACACTAAAAAGACCTTCAGAGATTGATTAAGTGGATCCAAAGTCCTCAGAAAACACTGCAATTTCTAAGTGAAGCACCTTCAGGTCACCAGTGCAATTAGAGTGGCTCAATACGAGATCTAAGTTGTGACCATCAAACACAACTATATATGTATATGCACATGGGTGACTTTCACAGGTGGACTCCCTGAAGTCACACTACAGAACTACTCATATCATTTCAACCCCCCACTAACCGACCATGCAGTTATTTCTGTGGAGCAAATAATAATTTTCTCCTTCCAACTACTATGACACTATCCCTGATCCAGCATCAATAGCTTGACTGTGCAAATGTTGACTGTATTCACAGCTAACATTAGTCCAAGGTGTGTAGTTGGTTTATACCCTAATGTGCACAATTTCACACCAAGTCAAGGCTCATGGTTTGTTGCTCCTAGTTAGACAAATTAAGTAGTAAAACTGGAGCACTCAAGCTGTGTACACCAACACATAGCTCATGCAAATTATGGTAAACAACCACACATACCAATGCAGCCAGCAGGAATGTGAGGGAAATTCCTTTAACTTTGTTTCTCTCATTATAGTTATAACTTCTTCCCCGTATTTCTTCCCTAAATACCATACAAATCAATGCTCTGGATGACAAGGTCTGCACACCAGCAACTTGTTGGTTGGCTTTGTATTGTAGAAGCACAACTTCTTCTACGCACTGGATGTTTGTTTGTGAATAAGTATAAGTCACCACAGACATAATCCAATAGGTGCTTTCAACAGCCATACTAGAATATACTCACCACTACAGTGAAAACTCAGGTTGTGAACATGATCCGTATGGGAGGCACGTTTGCAACTCACAGCGCCGCGTCTGTGCACGCACAGGTCATGATTTGGCACTTCTGTGCATGCGCAAAGCGCAATTTAGCACTTCTGCACATGCACAGAAACCCAGAAGTAACCCGTTCCTGTACTTCCGGGTTCGGCGCGGTGCACAACCCGAAGACACATAACCTGAAGCATCTGGTAACCCGAGGTACCACTGTATTTCAGCAGTAGTGGTCATACTACTGGTGGCTAATTTTGATTTCCCTAGATCTGAACCCTATGAAAAGCTGAAAAAGTGGCTTGACTTGAGACTAAATTACTTAATTTCAGCAGGAAAGCAAAAACAAATCAAACGTATTACAATATCTAGGAGTGCTAAAACTGCCTCTCCTCCAATGGCACTAAATATCTTCCTGCCCTGATCTTCAGACACAAACTTGCATTATCCCAAAGACATTACTTCCCTTCTGAAGAGGCAGGCTTCTAAGCAGAGAAAAACTCTTCTGTGCATGATTTTATTTACATCACTGAATGACCCAACAGAGCAGGGCTACTTCTAGGTAAGTCTCTCTTGGCTAGTGTTTCTATACTGGATAAAGAATCCCAACCAAGATAGAACTCCTTCCATTAACATCCTGCTTACTTAGACATTTTATATTACATGGTCAAAACAGTTAAGTAATGTTTTGCTGTACTTCATTGATTTTACAAGATGAGCCAAACCCATAATTAACAGGTTTATTTGTTTTAGATTTTAAGCATATCTTAATAACAGTGTGTCAGTGAGCTAACTATGGTTGTGGGCAAGATATCTTAACAAAAACAAAGTCCAGCAATGTCAAAACAAGATCAAGTATTATATGACCATGTTGTTGGTACCCTCCCTGTTTCTATGCCATACCTTGTATAGAGACATGTATTTTTTTTAAAGTTCCTGTGTGGCACAAACATCCATTTCAAAGCCCTGCTAGAGGAAACTAAAGGAATATGAATATGAATGTTTTTTTTATCTGTGCACAATATATTTTAAGATTTGTGTGCCCACATTTCTGTGATGTTCATCTGTTTCCAATTATTTGTTTGTATTGACTGTATCAGAGACACACCATCACTGACATCTTTTATCTCGTTAGCAACTTCAATGTGTATTATTAGTAACGGAATTTACTGACTTTTTTGTAGTAATTTTCATGTGGGAAGTAAACTAACACAGCTGTGGCTTTGTAAACAGAAGCCAATCATAAACCACTGTATTTCCTGGGAACACAAACTAATGAGCATCCAGAGCTATTTAAAACCATTATTGAACACTATATAAGAGGCAGAGCACTTGGCACTTCCTGCATCCTGGGCCAAGAATTGGAGGATGTATTAAAGTTTTAAATACTTGCATTCTAATAGGGAGAAAGCTGAGATATTACAATCAGCTATTGAAATTACAAAGTTTTGAGTTACACAAAGCAGAACTGGAAGATCTAGCTATAAGTGTGAATGTGAAGACAAGTAGCCATTTAAGATGGACAGTCATCAAATAGCCAGAGACAGGGTCTTTTGTCCAGTGGTACCCAGACTGTGGAACTTCCACCACAGGCATATTTGCCTGGCACCAACATTATAATATTTTCTATGCCAAACAAACACTGTCTTATCCTCCTGATTCTCTGATGGCAAATAATACAGATACGATTATTATTTCAGCTGCTCTTCTGTATATTTGAAGCTGGTTTAAAAAAATGATTTGTAGGGTGCCTTGAAGACCAAACTTGAAAGAAAGGTGGGTTAATTTAAAAAGAGAAAAAAGAGAGAGAAAGGGTCACTTTAAACTGCTTTGTGGAAAATCCATTCAACATGGAATGAGTGGTAGGAGGAAGGCTAATCCTCAAAAGCTACAATTGCTATTCCAGTAATTGTTCTTGCTTTTACCAAGGTTATAAATTTTAAATTCCAGACATGTCTTTAGAAGATGATGCAAGTTATAGTTTCAGACAGTCCGAAGTTAGCCACACTCCAGTGATATGATACAATCACCGGGGTCGGAAAAAAACAAGATTCCATCCCCCTGCCTGAAGGGACAATTTACCCCACAGATGAACTCACATTATTCCAATCACTATGAGCTGCACATAAACAGCAAGAGTAACAGCACACCACACCATGGTGTCATAGAGCTGTCTGCACTGTAGACATGATTATGCAAATATGCTCTCCCACACACTATGGAGAAGCAGAAACCCTTCAGCCTCACCAGCCAATACCACCCCTAGCATTTGACAAACAGATGTTAAGTGTGAAGCAAAACACACCCAGAGTCTAACCCGATTGAATTTTTTAAAAGCTTTAATTAGAATAATTATTAAAATAGAAAACGGTCAGACTTTAAACAGACTCAACGCACAACATACAATAATAGAAAAAGTCAGCGGCTAACTAAACAAATATTATATAAATATTAAATACAGGCTGTGCGGAAACATCCATCCTTATTCAGTAAAAAAGTCTCAATCATCCCCAAACCTAAAGCGAGAGAGACTGGTTTATAACCTCCACACACAAAACCTCAAACTCAGAAATTATTTTAGGAATTCGTCATTAGTTTTTGACCAATTTATTCTGCTGTTTACTCTTCAAATAAAATCATTTACAAAACAGCAGTGGCATTTCCAGGCTCCCTGCCTTCTAGGTCCTAATAGTAAATTTAAATTGATGGCCCCATATGCTTTCAGACATGTTGTTCCAGTGCATTTTTAAGATAGGAGTGCCAAAACCACCTAAGTGTTTTAAGACTAGTCTGCAAGCCAACACTGCACCTGCTACTGAAAAAATGAACCATGAACAAAGTTAAACTTCAAGAACAACAGGGAAAAAAGAAAATACAAATTTATGAGGCTCTGCATAGGTTCTCAGTAGAAAGTGAGATCCCTTACCTCTATCATTCAGACTATTTCTGAGGGCCCTTTCAACCTGTTCTTCTTCATTCAGTCCACCAGTATACATGCTGTAATCTCTCGATGAGTGCGATGGGTAACCTGAGTATCTAAAATTCTCTACACAGATCACACACAGAGAAAGAAAGTGTGATACCAGGAGTGACTTCTATATCAGATTACAGTATTGAATTTGTTCTACGTTTTCCCTCAACCCTCCGGAGCAGATTTGTAGAGGGTATGGGGGTGTGGGGAGAAAGAGAGGAAGGGCAAGTTCCATTCCTCAAGTGGAAGTATTTGTGCTAGTGGTAGAACCTCACTGGATACTGACCATTATATCTGTAACTTGCTTTTTAAGAACTAAGAGGTAGGTAATAGTGCAAGGGAAAATGCTGTGCATACTGTAGTAATCACAAAAAAGAAAAAGAGTCTATTAAAGCCTGTTGCAATTCAGCTAGGCCCTAAAAGGATGCAAACCCAACTTTTTTTCACATGTCCCTATTTGCACTGATAATCACACATGTAAGTGGATTCTGTATGTTTGATTCCTAAGCCCAATCCAGCAACTGAGTCTACACTCTGTGTGGTCTAGTAAAATTGTCTAGTACTCCAGTGATAGCTTGCAAGGGTGAGCCAAGAGCTGAATTCACCCATTGGATGATCTCACTTCCTCATAAAATAGTTGATCAACACACTTCCAATTTCTTTTATTAGGCTGCTGTGTGTGCTCAGCATGATCAGGGTGTACATGAATAATGGTACTTTGTTTGCTCTTTTTATTCATGAACAAGGATAATCATCTTCTGGTAAACAGAGCAGCAATTAAAAGACCAGCATAAACCAAAATGCTCTCCTTTCCACTTATCACTGAGAGAAAGCTCACCAGCCCTAACACATCTGGTAATACAGGACACTCCGGCCAGGTAGACCTCTCAAATACCGTATTTTTCCGTGTATAATATTTTTATTATTATTAAATGTATTAAATGTTTAAAATTGGGGGTCGTCTTATACATGGATAGTGCAGAGGGGGGATGGGCGATTGGCGGCAACCGCAAGCAGGAGACGGTCAGCGGCGATTGGGCAGGTGATTGGTGGCCGCAGCAAGGCCTGCTAACGATTGGCTGCTGCTGTGGCAATTGGGCGGGTGATTGGTGGCTGCAGCAAGGCCTGCTGGTGATTGGCTGCGGCAGTGGCAATTGGGCGGACGTTTGGTGGTATACCACTGAATGAAACTGCCAGTGATCTGCCCCTCATAGTGGCAGAGGGTGAAGCAATCTGCATGGGTGAAGTGCTGATACAGCTTGTTCCTCCCTCTACTTCTTTAAACTGAGTGGCTGAGGAGTGCACCTCTGCCCTTGCCTCAGCCAAGCAGTTTTACGGAGCCTCCAACCCACTACCGCTTGCACAAGCCTCTGTTGAAATGCTCCTGCTTGCACTCAAGTAGGATTGGGATCGGGGCTGCTCAGCTGGCAAGGTGCAGGCTCCATCACACTTTTCCACTGAGGGTGCGCAGCTGCGCTCCCCTCAAGGGAAAAGTTTAAAAGAGCCCCCACCTTGGAATCAGACCCCCTGCACCATGTGAAGGCAGTCAAGCGGAACATGGGATGTGTTTGGGGAAGGTGGAGACAGCCCAGCAGCTGCATCTGAGAGTCCCTGCACTGCCTTTGATGCAGCTGCCTGTCTCCACCTTGCCAGGCGGTGCTCCTTTAGACTTCTCTGTTGAGGGGAACACAGCCGCACACCCCTCAATGGAAAAGCATGACGGAGTCTGCAGCCCCGATCCTGCTCCTGCAAGAAGGAGTGGGGTCGGGGATCTCTCAGCTGGGAAGCGGGGGCTTCATGTTCCCCAGCTGAGCAGCCCCCATCTCGCTTCTGCTTACCGGGACATCAGGGCTCGCTCAGTTGGGGGCAGGAGGCTTTCCTGCCTACAGCTGGGCAGCAGGCTGGAGCCAGCTGCATTGTCCCCAGCCCGCTAGACGCTGAGCTGAAAGCTCCTCAGGTCCCACCATGAGAGCTAAGGCAGTTTCTCCCAGTGCCTCGCTAGCTGGGGCTAATGCAGCTTGTTTCAACATTGCGGTTTATTGCCAAACTGCGATGTTTTGCTGATGATACATCGCGATGTTGAAAACCTAAACCGATCCCTAATCAGAGCATGTGTGGGCACACACACTCACAACAAAATCAGCGCCTCAACGCCAAAACCACCACAGCTACACACTTTATAAATCTGGTTAATGGAAGGAGAATGAATGCACGTCAGCTACATTGGTGAGCAATCCTTACCTTGTGGCTAAACCCAGTATAGATCAAATACCATACTTCCCTTGACTCAGAGGGCAATGGTATTCAAACATTTACATTCCTGACACTGAGAAAAAGGCAGAGGCACCACAAAGCAGATTGAAGCACTACAGAAACAGAAGAGTGCTCCAATCTGCTATGATATTTCCTGAGCACTTTCAGATAAGCAAGTACAACCTAAGTTACTTACCTGAATTGTATCTGTTTCTTTGTTCTGAAAAGTCAGTTTGAGAGCGAAAGCCACCTAGCAAGAATGTATTTAATATTCATAAGCATTTATCATATTGCCCTTTTGCAACTCTGAATTTGACAGATTCATCTATCTAGAAGTATAACTGTGACAATTCTATCCTGTTAACATGTCTATTGAGTTTTGACCATTTTCTTCTAACAAGCTGAACAGCAATACTGAAGATGAGGTGGGAAAGGAACTGTAGGGAAAATGTCCCTCAACTGCTGTTTGCAAAGCTAGCATATTGATTTTATTTAGAACATTGTACTCTGTTTTAGTGGCAGCCACCACTAAAATACAACAAAATACATAGGACCCCTGTCTTGCAAATGTGCCTTTAAATTGAAACATGTAAAAGTATGCTGCTGATGAAGGGTGGCACTTGTTAGTTCAAGTTTGCTTACAAAAGCAGAGCTGATTCACATGCCATTTGTGTTCAGGGTATATTCCTCCCTGATATACTATTCACATACACATTATGTGCAGGACATTCCTTGCAAAGAGAATCCCTTAAAGTGAATTCATGCTGGTTTCTAAAACACACAACAATCACTCCCCTCTCTATGATAGATACAGGCACCTTGTCAAGGCTCTGCTATTGTGTGTCCACATGAATAACCCACACAAGAACAGTTCAAATGCTCCACTTTAAATGAGAACTGATGTTCCTAATCTCCTAGAGGATAAATTATAATGTGTTAAGGATTTGTCAAACCATTCAATGTGAACGTAACTGCAGATGCAAAGCCACACTTAATGGACAGAAACACCACATAAGGATGGCTTGAAGCTTATGAAGTAAAAGCTAAGTATTCATGTTCAATTCAATTCAATTCAATGAACTGTGAATTATTGGTAAGACTCAGGGTCATCATTCCATACCTGAGCATGCTTTCATGAGCATCTTCAGAGGTCCCATGGTGTACATTAGCCCAACAAGAATACCTGCCAGATGCCCTGCAAAAGAGGTCCTAAAAAGAAAGCAATCCTTTGTGAGAGGTTGTATTGCTCATGATTAGATACATTCTGTACCCTCATTATCCCAAATCAGACCAATTAGTCAGTTTGCAGCCTATGCTCCACTTGGTGCATTTTAAATTGTGAAGACTTTAATATAACCAAAGGAACAACGTGTATTTCACTGTCCAATTTTGGGGGGGAAATAATGAGCGAAAAGAACACTGTCGTCTTTATGGATTATTTATGATCCAATAGGGCTCCTCTGATGTACTAACTTGTACAGCCATATTCAGAGACTTTATTAATTCTGCAAATTCCAATACAGAAAAAGTTAGGGTTTACCTATCAAGAACTATTGCTCACTTACTGACAGGTGCATCAAAATGGTTAAGAATTTTCACAACACAGAAAAAACTGAAACGTGGCACAAATCTGGTCTGAGACTTTTTTTTGCACAGACAGATACTAACTAGTCAAAAAAATTAATTTAGTTGGAAAAGAGTAAAAATTAAACAACATTAGCATGAAAAAGCATCACTGAAAAAATATTGGTTGTTTGCAAGCTAATTGTTCTTTTAAGTTAACTTCAAATAACAAGTTACTTTAGATGATAGATGGATAATGATAGATGATAGATAATAGATAGAGAAATGACAGCATTCCAGGGGCAAGGATCATGTAGTTTCCAAGACATCTAATATTCAAACTAATTACTCAGGTTCCCTAGGAAGTTAAGAGATACTAGGGTCCTTAGTGCCCAGGGCACTTTTTTCATTCCAGATGGCCATGAGGAAGGAAGGGTAGCCTCATAGAAAAACTACAAGTAAGCTTGTGGGGGGGGGGCGGAGCAGTGGCAAGGAGTAATGGCACTGGGGCAAGCTTGGCTCATAAAAAGCTGGGGAGAGGAATTACTGAGTTCATCATTACAAGCCTCCAAGTCACTTGAAAATCCCCTTTCAGTATCCAACTGTAGCTAGAGTACTAGGCATACACCAAACTAGAACTTGTTAGAATTTTAACCATGTCTCTCTTCCACATCCATTCACAAATGGCCAAAATGCACCATAAGCATCCTTCCAAAACACTCCAATCGCCTTTTATTGGGCTGAAAGAAGAAACTGTAGCAGCTCTGGACCTATGTAGCTCTGCTTCTTCACATTTCTTTTAACTGCTTGTTGAGGGGTAGAAGATGGGTGTGAACGTTCTCAAGTCACATCTCTTTTGTTTTGTGAAAGTTTGATCTGGAAAAGTTCAAAGAGTTTTGTCTTGATGGAGACTTATATCTGAGACTACTTCATTAGTTTACCTCCTTTCTACTGAGAGGCCAGATTAAATAAAGTGTGCTTAAAAACAGAGTGATAAAAGAATGGATGAACTGACTCCTAGTGAGAAAATCCACAAAACTTCAAGCCAAGAGGGGGAGAAAGCATAGCCTATCATGGAAATAAACCCATGGTAGATACAGCCAACTGCACAATTTATGTTCTTTATTGCTAAATTAAAACTATACAAAGTAGGCTGTGTAGTAAAGGATAATAGAGTTGAGACAGTATTTGAATGCAAATGAGCCTGGATTAAACAAAAACCAACTGATTTAAAGCTGTTCTGTACAGAAAACTTCTATTGTTCCTTACTGTTAGCTAGCATTCCCATTTCTGGTTATTTTGCAATTAAGTTGAAGTGTTGAATAAGGATTTACCAGCCCCAATTTGACTAAAAGTGGTGGTTCTCCAGTTAGCATCATTCAGAACCTTTTCTTCACTTATGACAGAAAGCAGGGGAAGGAAGGAACCCTATGTGGCACCAAGAAAATACCCATTTCATGCACAGTATTGTATATCTCTAAAAATTAATTAAAACATTCCAGTCCTTCAACAAACAACAGAAGAAACTGTTTCCAAAACACCTCTTGCTAAAAAGCATTGCTACACTATAGAAAAATGATACCAACTGCATTCCTTACTTTATGCAAGTGGTAACTGCTGTTACCACTTGATATTCTGAATACATGAGACTGTTATCAGCAGTTGTCATGGAATCAGCCATCACGGATTATTGCATCTTATCCTATCAGGCTATTACCTAACAATGACAGACATTGTTCTTTGTACAGGGCAGGTAACAACAATTTCCAAACAAATTAAGGTGACTCTAATCAGTAAAGCTTGCAGATAAAATTAAAATCCAAGCAAATACCCTAATACTGGCAATGAAAGCCACCCCTACAAGATCTTATAGCACTTCTTGGAGATTCTCAGGTTCAAAAGCCAAGTCAACTCTTCCAGTGGGGTATGAATCTTCTGATTTCGAGGAAGCCAACAGGAACACCCTTACCAGTTACTGTATATTATACTGGCATAACAAAAAGCAGACAAAGATTATGCAGGAAAAGAACATGTTGAAATGTTTGCCCAGTAAAACGTTTGCCCCTAAGAGCTTGATTTAGCAGCTCTCAGAATAAAAAATGCCATAAACAAAGAAAGAGATTGCCACTCTTATATTAAACATTTGACCAGTGATTTTGCCTACACTGAAATAGAAGAGGATGATGGTTGGCACATCCCATTCTGAGCACTTGTTGATACAGCAAGCCTCAAGGGGATAATAAAAGTTTATGTTCACTTGCAATTCAACACATTAATAATGGTAGCCATCTTCTAAAGTGGAGAGGAAAATGAATTCTTACTTAAGTAAGTGAATTTGTGAGACGAAAAAAGGGAACTTGTAACTATACAGAAAAGCAACTGTATATGATGGGTGTGATGCATCAGTTCACACATACTGGCAAGACAGAAGAATGAGTGGGAGGGTAGAGGGCGTTGAGAAAGAAACTGTGTGAAGAGCAGGTGTGATTTGAGAAGGTTGAATCAACGAGGCCAAAAATGAGTTGGAGGCGGGAGAGTTGACAAAAAAGAACCTGTGTGGGGAAAGGAAACAAACACACCCCTTGAATTGAAGAGGGATAGAAAGCTTTCCTACTCTCTTCAGCAACCCATATATTTTCAGCTCAGTTTTTAAGTTTAAGATGGATTTCTGCACCCTGGCTGCTTATTTTTCCAAAAAAGACCCAACAACCCAGATTGGGTTTGTGATTATTTTAAAATTGCTATGTTCTAAGCAGTAAGAAAGGATAGAAAAGAAGTATGAAAAAGAAAGCCTGCTTAAATCAAAACAATCTGCTTGGATTAAAAAACAACAACAACACAGCACTTCAATGTTTGGAAGGGGTAAGTCACATAAACCAGAAAGTATAGAATATGTGGCAAGAAGGAGGGTGAAACACTGTCAAAACTGATGTTAAGGGTAGGGTGCTCTGAATCAGGAAGCAAGCACTGCAAACTGGCAGAACTACAATGGGCATAAACGAGACATGATTATCAGTGATGTGGTAAATGCAGTTCCTATGCTAATCTATGCCTAATCTATGTCACAAAAACTCACTTAAGAATTGTAAATGTCATTAAAAGCTCAATAAAAATTGATTCCTATGCATATTTTATCATAAAAATATGCTGTTTGACTTTATTGTAAACAGCCCTATTTCTTTGAAATGAAATAAATACATTTTCCTCCCCAGAAAGCTTCTCTGTATATGCCATTTGAACATGTTCCCCAGTTTTCATATAAAAACATACAATCCAGAAGGGATGCAGGCTTTACTCTATTCGTAATGACATCCATATACATATATAATTATTTAATGCAAGTTGTAGATAAGTCACAGGATACTTACCCTGGGTTCAGTAAGTGAATTGCTACAAGTTCCAACCAACAAGCATACTTATTGGATATAATAAATCCCATGACGTTGCTTGACCCACCTGGGTGATAGCAGTTGTTAAGAACTTTCAAAGCAAATAATACTCCTAAATCAAAATGAAGCAGAAAAACATATTAAGAGAAATTCTCATGTAATATGAAAAACAAAGAACACAGAAGTTTTGCTGTTATTAAAATGCTTCCGTGCTCCATTAAATGTCTTTGTTCACGCTTCAAACAGATGAAAAAGACAAACACGACTCCCCAATTTTCTGTCAGTATTTTCTGCGAAATAATTTATTTTGGTATGGGTTGTAGCGGCATATAGATATGAAAATCTAGCTGCATGTGCATTTTAATGATTTTATTTTGAGTTGTCATTTTAAAAAAGACATACGAGGAAGTACATCAACACAAGAATCTGGTTATGTCCTTCAAGATTATTTAAATTTAGGGCGCAATCCTAAGACTGCATCTGTTGGGATGATTGGGGAAAATGCATCATAAGCATGCCCACAAAACAGAATGAAGCTAACAAAATTAGTTATGTAACTGAAAATAAGTATGTTCATAAGTACCTTGTGCTCATCATGCCCTTCAAGAACATGATTTTAACTCCAACTCCTAAATGCAAAGTGTGATCCTTCTTTAGAAAAGCTAGCATTTCCAGTAAAAAATATTAATCTTGTGAAAAAGCAGTGGATATATTACCTGAAAAGCCAACAGCACAACTCTGTTTGTATGAAGGAACATCCAGAAGTTCTGCAAGAGCAAGTTCCAGAAGCATGTACACAACTCCAATTAGCAGAGAAAATATTGTAATGATATATCCAAACCAAAAACTTCCAAGCCTCCTCTCCAACTTAATTCCTTTCCAAAGCAGGGAGACCATATTAAAATATAGATGCCAATCATCCACATGGTGAAATGGTGAAAGATACAAACGATGCCAATCTCTTCTGTAAAGACACTCGGTGACACTGATGCATGTTTTGTCCAGTCGTTTCACGGGTTGTAAAAAGAGACAAACGTTTGCTGCCAAAGCGGCAAGTGTCACAGGTGGAATGTTAGAAACTCCAACTTGGAAAATCTGAGAAAGTAGCAGAAATAGTCCAATATTTGAACCTTTCTGTCTTCGGTGCATAATCACTTCTTTTAATCAAAGATACTGCCACTTGAATACTGCTGAAATCCAAATATAGAAATGGAAGAATAGTAATATGTTTGCAATAATTATAATCAATAACAAAACTTTAAACAGTAAGTTCATACTGGTTTTCTTGTATACAACTCGCAGCAACAGAGACAGGTTTTTATAAAACCACTAAATGTTTGTGAGGCAGGGGAAGAAATTGGTAGTGGCTAATGTTATCTAAAAAAAAAGTTCAGCTTCTTAAGTATGGCCCATATAAGAGCAATCAGGGGAATAAGCAGCACAAGAAGAGCACCTGCAGTTCTGTAGGAAAAGTGTATTTTGTCCCAGTAAAATAGAGGTGGGAAAACCTTTCCAGCCCAAGGACCACATGCCAAAAGCAAAAGTGGGAGAGCAATAAATGTTCATTTGTTCACACATCCCTCTGTATTCTCAATCCATGGAAGCAAGGAGCATTATCAGAATTCAATGAAACATTGCAGGCAAGCAAAAATATTGAGGAGGGTGCAAAATTGGGCTGTGAAAGAGGGGATGTGGCTGGGGTGGGGGTGCAGCCTGCTGAGAGACCCAAGAGCCAGATGGAGCCACCTGTAGGGCAACATTTGGCCCTCAGGTCTGAGGTTCCCTAACAATGCAGTAAAGCAATGAACAGTTCCTCTTAATTGTCTGCAATATTTATAAATTTTATAGAGTTGTAAGTTCTTTCAATCAAGAAATTATTACATTTCCATATGGCTAAACACAGGTAAGTATGCATTCTGATTGTGAAGTAGTGAGGAGGGGGAGAAAAAGTGCAGCTGAGAAGGTTATTTGGAGTGCAGAAGCAGCAGGAAAAAGTTTACCCCAGGCTACTTGTCTACCCCAAATTTTCCCCTCCCAAAACTGCTTTTCTATACACAGTCCCACATCAGGGCTCGGTTTCACACATTTACACATTAGTCCTTGTAATGAATTGAAGCTAGAAACCAAAACAGTTATTCTGGAACACCTCTCTGGTGTTTTTGGAATGCAATGTATTGTCAACATGACATTTCCAGCTACTTAAAACATTCTTCTTTCAACCTCTGCTTTGCTTATTAAAAGGCTAATGAAGTTTTAGACAATGCAGGATTTATTCTGTTTCCTACAATGATTTCCAAAACATGCCAAAGCTTTCAAAATGTACATACTTACAGAATAATCTTCAAGTGGATGTTTGTCTTTAACTTAAAACTGCCACGTGCCTACATTTTTGTCACCTACACAAGATAAATGTCTGCAACTACATATTCTAGGAATTTGATTGTTCTGCATAAGCTAATGAAAGATGCATGTTTAAAACTGAACAACAGTACTCCCATTTTCTTTGGTTAAAATGTTTTTTTGTGTGTGTGTTAGGACGCTGAAGAATCACGCACAAAGAAAAATAGCAAAGTAATATAAGAAAGCAAAACAAGATTTTCATGGTGCACCATCTTGAGCTCCTAGAAGAAAAAGGTGGGATAGAAATGCAGTAAACAGGAATAAGAATTAATTAAAAAAAAATATAAACTAAATAATTAACAAAGAGGTGCTCCATGGAGGGATGCTGGAGAATTCTGGCACAAACAGAAACTGGAGCGGAAATTGCTGATGCTTGCTTATGCATTCCATGTCTGGAATGGAAAGGAGTCCAGTGGTTGCAATTGGTATTCACTATTGTTGCTTTCAGGCCATAAATTATATGCAGTTGATTACATTTCCCACATTGTTTTTTCCTTTGGTTGGGCATTGCTTGTGTTTTTTTGTTTTTTAAACGTAAGTTGCTTTTAGCCTTTTAATAATAAATAATATATAACAATAATAAAAGAAAGCAAATCAAGTGTAGAAAAACAACTAATCTGCACAACATAAAAATGAAACCAGATTACACGTGCGACTCCATCTCCATCGTCTGCATGTTTACCTGCAAGTTCCACTCCATTCAACCCTAAATCTGCACTAGACCAAGGCCTTAAATCACAATCCTAAACACACTTATATGGAACTAAATGAATTTAGGACTGGTTTTCAGGAGCACAACACTAATCAAAGCTATACTAACAATTTAAGAGTGCTTCATGGCTTATACAATCCACAGCAGAAAAGAATGGGATTACATTTGTAATCTATTCATTGGGTGTGTTCAGATGTACTGCCGCACTGAGCCTCAGGCTCAACCATTTCCCCTCTGGTTTGGCTGCAAGGAGTTCAGAAGCTTTCGTTTCTGGTTTGAATTAACCACAGTTTAGCATTACATTCAAACTGTGATTAATCTGAAGTATGTGTTGTTGAAAGAAAACACCTTCATAAATCATAGTTTGAAGCTTCCTTGCTGTTTCAAACAAACCATAGCTAAAACTAACTATAGTTTAGTGTTAGATGCAACCTTTAATTGTGGTTAATCAAAAACTCACTGTGACGACCAAACACAGATGTTGCTTTTAAGGCAATACATTAATATTCAGCCCTCATGTGGTGCAATGGGTCAGTGCACCTGACAGTTAACAAAAAGGTTGTGGTTTGAGTCTACCCAGGGACAGCTGTGGGAAGGATTCTTGCACTGCAAAGGGTTGGACTGGATGATCCTTGGGGTTCCTTCCAACTCTACAATTCTATGATTGTAACAGTGCAATTATATACATATCTACTTATAAGTAAAGGGACGCGGGTGGCGCTGTGGGTTAAACCACAGAGCCTAGGACTTGCCGATCAGAAGGTTGGCAGTTCGAATCCCCGCAATGGGGTGAGTTCCCGTTGCTCAGTCCCTGCTCCTGCCAGCCTAGCAGTTCGAAACCACAAGGTGCAAGTAGATAAATAGGTACCACTCCAGCAGGAAAGTAAACGGCATTTCTGTGCGCTGCTCTGGTTCGCCAGAAGTTGCTTAGTCATGCTGGCCACATGACCCGGAAGCTGTACACCAGCTCCCTCGGCCAATAAAGTGAGATGAGTGCCGCAACCCCAGATTCGGTCACAACTGGACCTAATGGACAGGGGTCCCTTTACCTTTACCTTACTTATAAGTAAGTCTCATTGAGTTCAACTAGGTATATCTTCAGGTTAGTGGGTATAAGATTGCATAGAATCAGAGTTGGAGGGGAACCTAAGGGTCAACTAGTCCAACACCCTGCAATGCAGGAATCTCAACTAAAGTACCCACGACAGAAGGCCATCCAACGTTTGCTTCCAAACATCCGAGGAAGGAGAGTTCACCACCTCTTGGTGGGAGTCTCTTCCACAGTCAGTTGCTCGCAAGTATATCATGGGGGACTTTGTCAAAAGCCTTACTGAAATCAAGACGCACTATGTCCACAGCATTTTTGATTCATCAAGCTTGTAATTGCAATATAACTGGATAATGTCATGTTGGGTCAAATTCCAGAAACTTTTTAAAAAGTGCCTCTCCACACTAGTAGTTTGGAAGAGCTACAACATCTGATCCTAAACACACAGAGCTATGGAATGGTGAGTATTATGCAGGCATTTAGGATCTGTGCAGTAGCTTGACATTTTTTCCAACTCCATTTCCTTTTATCTTAGACTTTTCATGAATAATGCTGTTTGATAGCTTGTTAAGACTCACTTGCTTTTCAGAACCATGCATGTCATAACTTGCAATGGAAAAGCAATGAGGTAGTTCAAAAGAAATCTTCCAAGGTAAATTATGTAAATAATTTGTAAGCATATTTTTGCTTCCAGGAGCTGAATCACACAGGGTGAAATTCATTTCAGCCGAATACTGAATATTAAATATAAAACAAGGGTCATTTTCTTAAGCAAGTTCTTGTAATTTTCTCGGCACTTGAGGGCTCACTTTTAAATGTACCAGGATGCAGTCATTAAGAGACTCGCTTTAATCATCTTTGTGCCTAGGTCCATTAAGATCAAATTTCTATTGGACCATATATACTGGTGATATCAGTTTTGGTAAACTCCTGTCATAATTTTATCTAGCCACTACTTGTAATGTACCAGGGTGTAAGTCACATAAGCAGAACTTATGACTGGCATTACACATGATGTGTAAAAGGTAGTCAAAGGTCTTATTTGTAACAAATTACATCACATTTACAGCATATATGCTAGTAACTAATTACTGTACCTGAACTTAGTAACTTAGCACAACTGCAACATCACTTCAGAAAATGCTACTGCAACAATAGCTGTGGGTAGTATGTAACTGGAAAGTTATCCAAAAGGGTTCTTGTGTTTTTCTAACTTAAAACAGGCAAATTAATATGGTACAAATCTGGCATATTTTGAAAATGCCTGGCAGATTTGAAGAATATAAACAGGATACAGGTTATCACACTGAAAACAGAGTAAGGTTCTTCACTGGCAACAGAAAGGCACTTTGCAAATTTCACCTGCTATAGGATTGCAGTAGAGCAATAAGCAATTGAAATGCATACCTTTGACATTAGTTTGATCAAGAAATAATGGCAATCTCAACCTGACAGAAGCAGTAAATTCCATGTACCTAGAATGGAGGAAAGAATGAATGGGAGAGATCAGGAACATTAATACCGAGAATATTAATACTGTACCTAGCCCTCCACCATTATCTACAAAAGTTAGCATAAACTTGATTACATATGTTGCATTTGGGGTTATTAATGACTTCTCATCTTTTTGGAGGGAGGCAGGGAAATAAATGACAGATCTCTTTACAACAACGCTAATGAAGAGGTGTAAGGACCAAAGTAGATGTGACACAAGAGATATGTGAATATTAATCCCCTTATCCCCCACCTTTTACAATGAAGAGTCTGTCAGTGGGCTGAGAGGAGTGTGAATTAGGGCTTACCCACTTTTCTTTTCTTTCCTCTGCACTTTCCAAGCACGGTCCCTGCTTTAAAGCTCCATGTGCTCCTTCTGTTTGCTCTAGCGCTTTCCTCATGAAACCCATTCTTTACCGCTGAATCAGAGCAAGTGGCAATCCATGGAAAACCTGAATTGCTGTTTGTTGCACTTCAGCTATAGAGAGGGTTTTCACAGTGAAAGCTCTGGGGTGGGGGGGTGGGGGAAGAGTGGTTGGACACAGAGCTTTAAAGCGCAGGACACAGAGCTTTAAAGTGCAGGCCTATGTCTGGAACGCTAAGTGTGGATAAGCCCTATGATAGGCTATGATACTAGAAGACTGGCTAACTCATTTCCCCCCCACAATTTTCTCAATGTGAAGGACCACCCAACGTGGTAAATGTACAAATGCCCATGCAATAAGAGCGGTATGCTATTGAGTGCGACAATGATAACCAAAACAGCATCAACACAGAGCAAATCCAGGCACTTGTGCTACAATAGTACTGGAAATCAAATTTAAGTACTGTAGTGGCAAGTAGAGGAAGAGTGAAGGGCCAGGAAGGGAGTTTGTGCTACTAATTTAACATCCCGTTGTAAGAAACTAATGCCAAATATTAGGCCCTCTTTGTTGAAAGCTGTCAGGTTTTTATAGCACAACAATGTTTCTGGCAGGTCGTTTTAAATCTTAGGTATTGTTTGCTTAGCCCCCACCACATACCTTTATTTATTATAATTTATTACTTGAGAAGTGTTATCCACTGGGAGAGTAGCCTGGCACTATCATTCTCTGCCCTTACATTGGAGGCAAAAATCATTTTTATTTACCCAGGCCTTTGATTCTTAATTTGGAAACTAACTGGTTATGCTGGTAGTCTTGTTTGTGCTCACCCTTTAGTGGGGTAGGCAGGATTTATAATAACCTTGAGCCTGTTTCAGAAGGGCCACTGGACCTTTCTATTTGGGCAAACTTGTGGACGAAAGGCGTTTGAGGAGAGGGGTGGGTGAGGTGTTTTCGGTTTCAGACGCCTTCCAGGCATGGCCAAACTTGGCCCTCCAGCTGTTTTGGGACTACAATTCCCATCATCCCCGACCACTGGTCCTGTTAGCTAGGGGTGATGGCAATTGTAGTCCCAAAACAGCTGGAGGGCCACGTTTGGCCTTGCCTGCCTTAAGACAAAGAAAGGAGCAGGGCGAGGTAAGCAAGGCAGGTGGACCCAAGTGTACAGAAAAGAACGGAAGCGCCATTCCTCCGATGCCACCATCTCCCGGCCTCACAGCTAAGACACGTTAGACAGCGGGGCAGGACTGACGTCCCCCCCCCCAGCTCCAAATTACGGACAAGGCGGAGGGGGGCGGCGTCTCCCGACTCCTCAGTCCGACGGCTCCACTTTCCCTTCAGGAGAGGGAGGGACAGGGAGGGAAGCGGCTCCCCACCGCCTCACACGCTCAGGTTAGGCTCCTGAGCGGGACCGTCGCAACAAACAGGCGCTCCCCCTCCTCCCAAAAAAAAACTTACGTTCTGCGAGCGAGCGCGCGGCTGCAGGCGGGAAAGAGCAGCCGCGCCGCCGCGCCACGTGACTCTCCCGAGGCCCAATCAGAGCCCAGGCAAAGCAGAGGTAGAACTGTGATGATTCATCACTTTGCCCCGCCCCCGGAGCGCTTCCGCGTCGCAAACGAGCATGCGCCCATGAGCGTCACGCGGGAGTTGCCGCATAGCGCCCCCCCCGTCTCCCTCAGCTGGCTGGATTAACTGGAAACGCCGGAAAGGGAGGGGCGGCTGCCTCAGCGCCGTCTGAAACGCGCCTTGACTCGGAAGCGGCGGCCAGACGCGTGCTTTGAGGGACAAAAGATATGTTTTTTAAGTGTCTCTGATCAGCTGGTGTGGATCGGACAGTAAATCACCGCCGTTTTATTTGCCCTGCCGCCTTTCCTTAGTTCAGGCATGGCTAAACTTGGCCCTCCAGATGTTTTTGGGACTACAGTTCCCATCATCCCTGACCACTGGTCCTGTTAGCTAGGGATGATGGGACTTGTAGTCCCAAAAACATCTGGAGGGCCAAGTTTGGCCATGCCTGCCCAAGGCAGCTTGCAACGAGGAAAGGTTTGCATCGTTTCAAGCATAAGTCATGAACAATAAACAAATCAAAAAGTACTCCAGCAAATTTAACAATTCCCCATGTAAATTGTGATAAGATCTAAAAAAAATAAGGATACAGAAAAATTTATATATATCGCAGGAAAAACAACAGCTGTTCAGCAGCTTCAGCTTTTGTATTAGGAGTTAGTCAGGGCTCCACACTGGTAGGAGCAGGTCTTCTAGGATTCACAACCCAGGGAGCATCCGCATCATCACCCCTTTGCCCTGTAGGAGAAGCTGCCCTACCTGCAGTGGCGTAGCGTGGGTTGTCAGCACTCGGGGCAAGGCAAGTAATTTGTGCCCCCTAACCCGTGGATTTGCGCCCCCTAACCCGTGGATTTGCCCTAACCCCAGATGTTGCGCCCGGTGCGGCCGGCCCCCCTTCACCCCCCATGCTACGCCACTGCCTACCTGGTCCACCATCCTGTTCTCACAGGGGCCAACTAGGTTCCTCTCTGGAAGGATGCACCTGTATGAGCCTGGTAGAATTTTAAGTCCTTCTAGCGATGTCTATTTTCCCTATTCTGCCACCTTCCCAGGTGAGGACAGGAGAGAGGACCTTCTTGATGGCTGCTCCCAGATAGTGGAAATCCCTTCCAGGGGAGACTTAGGCTGGCCTCCTCTTTGCTTTTCTTTGCCCCTCAGGCAAGGACTTTTTCATTCCAGCAAACCTTTGGCCACTAACTGGTGGTTGTGGCAGGGTCTTATGAGGGCAAGTGTTGTACGTGCATGTGTGTTACTTTCAATGTTTTGGTGCTGTGTTTTTAAATTGGGTTACTTCTTGTTGTTGTTTTAATTATATTGATTGCATGTTTTTAGTTGCATCTGTTTCAATTTATGTTGTGAGCTGCCTCGAGTCCTGCACTGGGAGAAGTGCGGGATAAAAATTGTTGTTGTTTAGTCGTGTCCGACTCTTCATGACCCAATTAGTTTTAAAATAATATAGGACATTTGAAAGCAGGAGCTGAGAACATGACACAGCCCACCTTTAATATCAGATGAAGAAGAAACTTGCTGAAGCACACCTTGTGGTGCCTTGTAGGGGAGGGGGAGAATATACAAGCAAGAGAAGGGAGCAGAGTTGCTGGCCTCTATCTTGCTTGCCCTCTCTAGTCACTGCATGAAGGAAGGTTTTGGCCCATGGTGCTGACTTGACAGAGAATGCTGGCAGCTGCCTCCACCCTCTTTCTGTGGACAGAGGATTGTGGACCGAGGGAGCAAACACCTCATTCAATCAGAGTTGCTTATCTAAGCCCTGTCTGGGCAGCACAACAGTGGGCATTCAGCCCAGCAAACCAAATCCTGCCACGCCACTCAGAAAGAGGTGAGGGAGAAGTGGCAGCAAGGACTAGGCAAGACATCTGCTGCTGCTGCTGCTGCTATTGTTGTTGTTGTTAACCTTCTAAACCACCATCTCAAGGTGATGTACACATAAAGATAATTAAGAAAACAAAAACAAATACATTTCAAAGACTAAAACTTGTGGTGAAAGACCCATTTATCCAGCTGGGAAAGCCCGTCAGAACAAAAGTGCTAACTTCCCTGTGCTAACTTCCCCTGGTCAGATGCTCTTTAGGCAGTAGGGCAGGAAAAGCTAAGCCCAGTAAAAGTGCCATCCAGAGGGAGGAATTAAAAATAGGGGCACCGTCTCTGCAGGCTCATTGCCATCTCTTTGGGTAGTATGGTGCTGGCAGAGTTGAATTCCCACCACTGCACATCCCCGAAGAACTCTGGTGAGCAACGGATCAGTCAACCAACTATTTATTATGAGCAAGCAACCTTCGTTTGGAGGTTCCAAATGTAAACCATTATGAGCAAGCAACCATTAGTAGGTTTAAGTGATAGAGGAGTGAGAGTCTGAGGTGCTGCATATTCTATGGCCATCCCTTTCTTGCATTTTCCAGGAAGAGGAAGGACAAGCAAGCAGAGAGAAGTGAGAGAGCAGGTAGGAACAGCCACCACCTTTTTTTGAGGTGCTTTTGGACAGCGGCTTAGTACTGTAAACAGGTTATTCAAACGTCACAAGGGGTAATTGGCTACAGAGCTTTTGTTTTCAAGTCAGCAGATTTTTTTCCCTGAAAAGGGTAAAGCCAGATTAAATGACCGGGAGGGATCCAAGCTGGCATCTTGATGCCAACAATGTTGTATGGGTGCTGCAAAACAAACAAACAAAACACCTGCACACATGAGGAGCACTCACCCCAGAATAAAGGTCTATCCAGAAGTACCCTTGCTCATACTCCTCCTCACGCTCCCCAGACTTCAGAGGGGCGTGCGTTCTAGAGGACTTTTAAAAAAACAAAAGTATGCTTACTGTACCGTGTAGTTTCACCTCAAGTTAATGCAAATATGATTATATTCTGTAGAAGATGCAGCACGCCCTGGAAAAACATAGAGTGTAATTTGAGAGCAGCAGTCAGGGCAGGTGCCTGATGACAAATCTGCGTCAGGAACATAAGAGGATTGTTATTGTGCTTCAGTTACCTGAAGCCGGGGCGGGGGGGACGGGGACCAAACCCTAAGAGTAGCAGTGGTACAAAAAATATCAGGGGCGGTGCAGGAAAAGACTACTGTGCATTTCTGAAAGGGTGAGATTTATTCCACGTGTTAAGATTTCTGGGTGGAAAAGAAGATACAGTCCTTCTAGTTGTCAGGCAGGAGTTGAGAGTCTCTTCTCCCTGCCCTCTGTTGCCCCCTATGCCTAGAATTGCCCAGAAGACTGATGTTTTTAAGACTGGCTCTTCTCCTGTGTCTTTAACAGCAGCCTGCTAGATAAGAAGTTTAACATATGAAGCTTGTCTGAACATAAAAAACAGGGACCCTTCTGGATCAGGCCCTTGGTGCCCATGTAGCTTGTTCACAACAGTAGCTAACCAGATACCTCTGTCAAGAGCAAAAGCACCCATTTCCATTCCAGGAAAAGCTTCAGATTGCTGTTAAAGGGCCAGGCACTGGGAGTGGCCACCCAGCTGGCAACACTTTCCTACCACAATAGGCATTTAGCAGTGGAGTGACTGGTGACTGGTCTAAGGCTTTGAAAATTCCTTCCTAAAAACTAAGGGTATTGTTAGAGGCTGGGTCTTTTGTGCTGGACCTCAGATTTCCTCTCCCCCCCCCTTTTTTTTAAAAAAAAGGCAGGCCAACTTTGACAGGCGGGTGAGACCACCTACCTGTCAATCATTACCTTTTTGCAGGGTTTGACTTCATGCTTGAGTTCCCCAGGGGGAATTCACACAGCCAAGCCAGGTATGCATCTGTCTTCCTGAAACTTGGCAACATGTATGACATTAGATATGGGGCACGTGGATGTGTTTTGGGCGAGATGGGCCAAATGGGGAAATCCGACAGGCCACATTTGGCCCATAGGGTGGAGGTTCCCCATCCCTAGTTTACAGAGTGGCTGGGCATGCTGCAGACTGGTGAGACCTCAGCTACCCACTGCCTTAATTTGCTCAAATCACTAAATTCATACCTACCGGTGCTCCCCCAGAGGGTCAGGGGTACGCAGTACCGGCATCTCTTTTTTTGTTGTTGTTAAAAAGTGTGACACTTACTGTAAGAACTTCATCATGAGTACCGGCATCTATTTTTCTAGAAAAAAAGCACTGATATCTACACATATAAATTAGCATATGCAAAGCTTTTGAGAATTTGAGTCTTTTAGTGTGCACTCCTATGCCCCCTGGGAGGGCATTCCAGGGGACACAGAATAGATCAAATCTATGACACTGAAGGGGACATGGGTGGCACTGTGGGTTAAACCACAGAGCCTAGGACTTGCCGATCAGAAGGTCAGCGGTTTGAATCCCCGCAATGGGGTGAGCTCCCGTTGCTCGGTCCCTGCTCCTGCCAACCTAGCAGTTCAAAAGCACATCAAAGTGCAAGTAGATAAATAGGTACCGCTCCGGCTTGAAGGTAAACGGCGTTTCTGTGCGCTGCTCTGGTTCGCCAGAAGCGGCTTAGTCATGCTGGCCACATGACCCGGAAGCTGTACGCCGGCTCCCTCGGCCAATAAAGCGAGATGAGCGCCGCAACCCCAGAGTCGGTCACGACTGGACCTAATAGTCAGGGGTCCCTTTACCTTTACCTATGACACTGAAGAGCTGCAAAACTGGAAAGGAAAATTCGGTGTCAGATACCCCCTCCTCACTGCTGTGGAAACCTCCAGTGCCCAAGCCAACAATTGCTGGGTCCCTGCTTTTGCATGTCTTGGGACTTCAGTAGGATCAAAAGAGGGTGTATCAAGGGAAGACCAAGAACATACACCCTCAAATCAATGGGTGATTTAGACCAGCTCTGTAGCTGGTTTTAATCTCATCCAGGCATTTCCACCCCATTTGCCCCAGAAGAATGTTTCTCCAGTTTAATGTCTGCCCTGCCTGGGAGAGGATGGCAGGGCTTTAGATAAGGCCATTGAATCACCTTCAGTTTTTACCTGCTCCGCCTTAGTTTGGTTTAAAAACCTAGCATCACCTTTGTTAAAATGTATTTAAAAGGAGGCCTAAACTACTGGTTT